CCTGTAAAACACATAAATGCATCCAAACCACAAAAGATTTCTCGATCACCTGCAAGAGTGATTTCACCTCACATCAAAGATGGAGAGAAGGATAAACACAGAGAGAAACACCACCACCAGAATGCTTCGCCTAGAGTATACAAATGGAGTTTTCAGCTCAGTAAGAATTCTTTAAGTTGACTTGATTAGAGGGAATTTACAAGAAATCTTGTTCTGAAAGAAAAATGTGCAAATTTGGGGATTCTAAAGTAGGCATAGGCCTTTTATGGTGTAGTTATGGAAGCGTGTTATCTTTCATGCTGCACCTTGTATACTCTTCAGAATTGCATTCATTTGTTTAAAATCACCTTGATGAAGCTATTTTTTCTTTTCTTCCCGCTTTTAAGATGAACTAGACAATATGAGCAGCACTGAAAGGATCTCCTTCTTACAAGAAAAACTACAGGAAATACGAAAATACTACATGTCCTTGAAGTCAGAAGTAGCAACCATAGACAGGAGGAGAAAACGATTAAAAAAGAAAGACAGAGAAGGTAACTTTCAGATTTGCTTTATGCTTCTAATGAGAAGTTAATTTTCTTGAAAATACAGAACTCAAAGCAACTTGGGTTTAATTGACAGTATTTTTGAAAAAAAACGTGTTATCATCTGTTCGTGTGTATACATATTTAGAAAGAACATTTGTGGCTTTTCAGAACTCGAACCTAACAAAAACATTCACTGACTATTTTATAACTGCGTATTAGAAACTTGGACTTCCTAGTGCAAGCTCGGTCTGAGTTTTCAGTCAGTGTAATGACTCATCTGATTCATCTTTTCAATTGGTGTGTGATGCAGAAAGGGGAAGGTTACTCACCCAGTTTATGGGAACATAGCAGTGAAAGCGATTGACAAAAAATCTATATCGTTTTTTTGTGACCGTGCCACTTCTTTGAGGTCTTTTAAACAACCTAATATAACCAAGGAAACCTTCATTCTGACATGTACTTTGATAATCTGATGCTGATCTGTTGTTCTATATGTTCAGTGTCGCATACAGGAGCATCCATGTCATCTGCTTCATCAGACACTGGAATGAGTCCATCATCATCTTCTCCTCCACAAAACGTGCTTGCTGTAGAATGCAGGTGATACACATTTCTCTGCCTTGCCAGCAACTTGCTGCCATGGACATAAATCCTGAAATTCAACCACAGAAAGCACTCAACTGGTTTGACATTGCCAAGTATATTCTGTACACACTTCCACTGCTGGACTGTACCTGTTCTCCCCTCCTACCCTCTTCTTTTGTTTAATTTACTGTTCAGAGAAATTAAGCTCGTTGGTAACTGAAGGTTTGTAGGCACAATGTGACATGCTTGTCATTGTGTTTGTTTCTGTTTTGTTTTGGTTTGTTTTTTGTTAATGCAGAGAAAGGGCACTTATCAAATTTGAAAAGTTATGTCCAATGAAGCGTTCAGGTGTTCTAGGGAGATCTTAGAAAAGCAAGTGCACCAAGCAGACATCAGAGTATTATCAAAAAGAATTGAGTAACTGCTGCACTTTCACCGAGCTGTACGTTAACCCTTGGTGAGTAGTTCCTCTTTGTGGAAGCACTTGCTATACAGAACTGCCAAAGTATGTGTTCAGCAGTGTGCCCAGTTTTAAAGGTGTAAATGGGACAAAATAAATTGTGAAAGGAAGTGTAGTTGACTGAAAACTACAGTTGTAATAAGTCTTCCACTTTTTATAGGATTTTTGAGCACACAATTATGCAAATATTTTAATGTTTATTAATGTTTACAGTGGAATTGTGAATAGGTTTTCAGTGGACTATCTTATCCCTTGACAAAAATATTTTGTCTTTTTTCTATGTAATTTCAGAGTTTTTATTTTGTTACAAAAAGACGAAAAATGAAATATATAACAACAATGAAGTTATTTAACAAGATTTCTAAAGCTGAAATTTTTGTGTAAAATAAGGTATCTTGCAACTTGTTAAATATATTTATTCAGACATTGGATGTTGTATTTTTATGTATTTTTTAAAATATTAATAAAATTGGAAAAAAAACTCTAGGTTAGTTCACTCTTTCGATAAAACACACTTACCAGTTACGGCTTTAAAGGAGGTTTTATCCAGTAGCCATGCCTGTATTTCAAATGGGTCTGTCTACGTACCCTCCGCAACGTAGATCTGTAAGCGGGCATCTGGATTAAACTATGACTTTATTTGGAAACTTTGGCAGTCCTAGTACTTACATTGTTTTGAGGAACAAAATTTATTGGGTTGCCCTTAAGATACTTTGTCACAAGGTCTTATGTTTGCTGTACTGCCGAATGAATTTATATCTCCCAAAGTTGAGATGCAACAATAAAGTAAAGCAACTGTGTATGCTTTGTCTGTGGATTGTCCCACAGACAGATACAGTTTGTAAATAACTCTTCCAAAACCATGTATTTAAAACAGTTTGCATATACATTATGTATAAAAGTGATTTTTTTATCAATTTTTTTATTCATGTTTGTACATTGAAAGGGGTTCTTAACCCCTTTTTCTGTGTTTAATATGCTGTAGAGTAATAACATAGATGCTCTAGACTGTATATCAGGATATTCTGGTTCACACGGCAGAAAGTCAGAACGAAACACTAGTGATGGCGTAGCATTACTAAAATTGATGTTTCCTGAAATTTCATTTTACAACATTTGTCAACTTGTGATTCCAATTCCTTCCATTTTCACAGAAAATTAAAGAAAAAGTACTCTTGTAAATGCACTTTTTCTGTCTTTTCTTAAGCAAAGCAGAACTATTTCAATGTAAGATAAATATGGAGCTCACTAGACAGCGTCAATAAAGGCCATGTTTTAAACATAGGCTTTATATTCTATTTTTATTTAAGTGATTGTTCTTGTAAATGTCTGGACTTACCTAAATAGGAAAATTAATCTCCATAAATTGTTGTAAAGACTTTTTTCAGAGCTAACTTCTACTGTTAATCTTATAATAGCTATGAATAAAAAGCAATACTCGTTTAAAAGGAAATAACATGGGTCACATTTTCTCAGATTATCTTCCATGTTTAATAGTTGCAGAAGTAAATTTTAAATTTGGTGAAATAATAGGATTAATTACATCTTATGCGGACATCTAACCTCTGTCTACAAACTGTGTGAGACCTTAAACAGGCATATGCGCACACTCAGCGTGCACAGGTGACGGGTGAGTGTGCACAGGTGACGGGTGAGCTCTGAACTGTCTGTTGTTCAGGACAGATGTTCACAGCGTGTACACTGACTGCTTCTCCTTCTCTCTTAGGAATGTTTAACATATTGCATGGAAGACTGCAGGTATGGTTCCATGAAACACGGAAACCCATTCTAACAGATGGTTGCTCCTTGACATAGAGAATGCGCTTCCTTACTTCCTCTTTCCGCCTGCTTACCTTGCACCAGTACTCATCAGACAGACAGACAGACACGCACCCACCCACGCCCCCCCAGTAACAACTAACGTTACTACTCTGGCAGAAAAATAACCTGCAAGAAAAGGCGGATGACTTTCCTGCCAAGCCACTGGCAAAGCCTCTAGCATGTTACTGATTTCCTAGTTTTATCTTTCTGGCAAGAAGCGTTATCAGTTAGCCGGATTATTCAGTAGATGTTTAAATGAGTTTCTTACGACGTTTAAAAATACTGTAGGGAAAGAAAAATTAACTATATAATATGGGACTATCCGGTACTTAAAGGTGAAGTTTCTTTCAACAAGAAACCCTAATAGGTCTTTTATTTCTAACTTTACTATTATCCCCTCATTTTTGCTTTGTTGACGTAAAATAAATGCCAAAGTGTCTTCCAATGCCTTGAATGAAAGTTTATGCTGTTGAGGACGCAGTCATTACAATTGTACTGAATCGGGACTTTTTTTTAATAAGAGATTAGGTATCATGCTTGCAAGAGCAATCAAAAATAAAGCACCCTCTTGGCAGGCTTCATGCTGTTCTCCTGCCTTCTAATTTTTTACAGTTTTTCTCAAAATGATATATGTAATTTCAAGCTTAGGAGGTTGGAAAAAAAAAATTAAGATTATGGGATCAAACACTGTTAGAACTGTTAAAAAAAGAACAGGGCTGTAAGAGAATTCAGACTCTCCCCCCACCTCTTGCAACTGATAGGAAGAACTGTCGGATTTAGTATTTTTCTATTAGCTTATATCTGAAAGTTGGGAAAAACTTGAAACATTTGCATGCAAGGACATGAGGTAAGAAAAGGTTCATTTCCCTACTTGTTTTAGTTTTTACTTTCTTTCCATAAAGTATACCAGCTACATGCGTACTGATGAGTTTTTATTTTCTCTCTAATGTGTAAGTTTAGCAACGCCCAGTTAAATCTCCACTTGTTTCTGGCTCCTCCATCAGATTGCTTGTGTTTGAGAAACCTTCTCCTGCTTAAGAAGTTTGAACAGATCAGGCAGGAGAAGCAAAGATGACAGAACAATAATAACAAGGTGTTATTTCAACAGAGGTTAAACAGATTTACAGTAGTAATTAGTAGTGAAAGAAAAGCATAACAAGGGCAAATAGAGGTGTGTATCTTCACGAAGCGTAATGTATCTGACCTTCACGGGGAGCAGCAAAGACCTTTAATTGAAGGGCAGCAGTAGAAGAGAAAAGGTGATTAAATCACTTCTTCACTCTTTGTGGTATTTTGCACAAGTTCCACTTGAATCTAATTTTTTTTAAAGGTGCACTATTACAATAATTAGGCAGAAATTTTTAAAATGGATATGTATTCTCATTTTACCTGTAGGCAGCCACATAGTAATGGCTACCAAAATGACCCAGGATGGCTTTGATGGGGATCTGGAAAGAGAACCTGCATCTTAGGATTGTCAGCTCCTGTGTCTCAGTCAGACTATCCGCTCTTGAGAGCGCCTTCTCTCTCCAGACAGGTTTGGCAACCAGATGGAATTTCACATTAAAAAAATGAATATTCTTATAAAACGATCTTCTTTTCCCCATTAAAAATATTCTTGGATAGCTGAGGCAGCCAAATGGGTTTTCTGGGCAGCATTTACTGGAATTCTTTTGCAGCAGTAAGTCTGAGAAATGCTGTTGTTTTCTTTTTAAGAAAAGAGCACGTTTGGTTTGGTCGCTTGAAACAAATCCGACAGATGAGCCGGAAGACAGATTTACAAGCTGAAACAAAAGATGAACGTGTTAACAAAAGTATGTCGAGCCATTTACTTCACTGTGCCGTCGCATTTTGCAGGTATTGTGCACTAAAATCTTGGTTATTTTTACTTCTCTGTACTTGGGATTTTATTATTTGCTACAACGTGCAGGATAAAGACTACCTTTAGGTTTACCATTAGGAGATGTAAGGAACACAGCAAAGCAGTGGAACCAATGGGGATGTTGCCAGAGACTGGCATACATAATTCCAGGGCTTAGGAAAAAGACATTTTATAATTAGCTCACGCTATTTATCAAGCTCTTGCCCTCAAATGTTGAGAAAATCTGTCATTCTACCATATTATCTTCCACCAAATAGGATGATTCTTTCAGAGGTCTCTGGGAGAGTTTAAAATTATTCACGTTATTAGGTAAGTAGCTGGTATTTATTGGGGATTTTTGTTTGTTTCGGAAATCTGTGAATTCCCCAAATTCACAAGCATTTACTAGTCTCATCCATTGCTTTGGAGGGAAATGTAAATTCAATTTCTCGTTACAGTGTTACTGGTCTGAAGACGTGTTTGTTTTGATGCAGTTGAGTGGTGGATTTTGTGATTAGTCACAGCCCAATGACAAATACTCACTGCATTGTCATTTAAAGAAAACCGAAAAGATAAGGCAATCCTAACTGTGAAAGCAGACTGTTTCTCACCCTTTCTAAGAAAAGGACTTTCCTGGCTTCCTCTTTGTTTTGAATTATCTCAGCCCTATTTATGTTGCTATTCCTGCTCCTTCCCGTTTTCAGAGAAACCCTTCTTTCTGTTTCGGAGCAGGGCTGGTTGGTTCTGCTTCAGGTCTGCAACTACCTGCTATTTATATTACTTAGTACCGTTACGCTGTTGCTTATCGTATACCAACAGTTTTCAAAGGTAAAAAAGTGTCTGTGTTTTATGCCACTTGGCTTTAATTCACCAGTACAGCTAACTCACTACGAAAAAAACATGGAAGCGTTGTGACGCTTACTTTCTCTGTTTCATTCCTTGCCAGCAAAGAAAATCGGCACTAGAGCTCCATTACAGCTGTGAAAACCTGCAGGTTGTTCATCAGTAGCGTGTTTGCTTAACTCTCCCCCCGAGCCTTGTTGGTGAGGGACGCAGTTATGTGTTATTGGAGACGTCTCTCTCTCTCCCTGCTCTTCAGAGTAACCCAATATTATTTCCATTCCAGCCCTGTCAGTGTCTTCAGCTATTTCTAAACGACTCCTCATCTAATCCCTCATCTGGGTACAGCTTGACCTAATTTGCCATGATCCTGCCAGCTATTCCAGTTACGTAAGGAGGGGTAAGATTTGGAATTTGTATGAAATACTTTGTTATATTGCACCAGGGTGGGTTTTTTTTTTTAACAACCCACTTGTTTACGTGTATTGCGCAGCTTAAAACCGTGCCTCCTGATGCTCATTCATTTCCCACAGATTACTTCCCTTAGGAATGGGTAAGGTTTAAAGCTATTTAAAAATAAAAAGAAGAAAAAAACCCCAAACCCTTGATTCCTTCTGCTTACACTCTGCTTCCCCCCCTGCGAGTGACTACCGTGTGCCATCCCAGCAGCTTCTCCACGGAGTACTGCTTTTTATAGTCAAGTCCCCGATTGCCTGCGTTAGGTGGGGTCTCCTACAGTTGTTGTTTTCTACACTCTTCATTCTTTTTCCTCTTTCCTTTCAGTTTATGACCTGTCACGGCCTGTCACGGCTGGTGTCCCCCCCCCGGGCCCCCCCCAGCCAAGCGGCGCCTCTCCCTCCATAGCCGCACCCCGTCACCTTTGTCACCCGACGCCAGCCACAGCACTTCGCTTCCCTCTTGGAGACATCCTCCCTACCCGTCCTGAAGGCAATAAAAACCTGTAAGAAACCCGTGGGGTTTTTTTTTTCTTACCTCCACCCACATTGCCTTCGGGCCCCTCCCTCCCCCGGCCCGGCACTGGGAGCTCACAGCAGCTCGCAGGAGCCCGCAGCTCTGCTA